GCACGATTAAATATTAACAAAATCATTTTCACTGTGATATAAAACAAATTAATAACTTAACTGCATAATACAAGAAAAGGATCCCCGAGGGAGGTTTTCTAAAGGTTTTTTAAAGGTTTCTAAAGGTTTTTTCCGGATTTCCTGACCATTCCCGACAATGCAGGGTTTAGACTCGCTTGTCGATCGTATCTTAATCGATTCTTCATGTTCCTCAATCTCTTCTGTTTAATAATTGTTGGAAAAACTCTCTTTCCATCTGTTATTAACCTCCTCCTTTCCAACAATTATGTTCAATGCCAATCGAAGAATTAATAATTTTCACCAGATTCTTTGTCGCAGCGGTCTCCCAAAGGCTTCTCACATTCCATGTTCCCATTCTCAGTTCCATGTTGCGCTTGCCAAGTTATTGCCGTTGTATCCGTCCTGTCCGAGGTTTCTCTTCTGGTTTCTTAACATTTGATTTTTACAGAACAGGTTGTTAGTCTAGCGCCCAACCCTCAACCTGGAGGATCAGTCCTCAATATTTATATCCCCTTGAGACTTGGATAGTTCAGTTATTCCTCCGAGCGTTAGGTCTCCATATCCTCGTTCGTTTAAACAATATCCATCGCTGGAAAGTAAGGCTGACAATTGTCCATGAGAGGCTCTATATTACGCATCAATAGGCCTTGAACACCACTGAATTATATAAATGTTATTAAAACATACATTTTTATTTCATATATTAATTTCTAATAACTCATTCTGTGAGTTCTAACAACTCACTCTTTGTTACATAAATATGGTAGTAACGCATCCCTGATATTTTTCTCAAAAATGCTCGCGATTTCTCATTGATTTTCTAAAGGTTTTCTAAAGATTTTTTAAAGGTTTCTAAAGGTTTTTTCCGGATTTCCTGACCATTCCCGATAATGCAGGGTTTAGACTCGCTTGTCGATCGTATCTTGATCGATTCTTCATGTTCCTCAATCTCTTCTGTTTAATAATTGTTGGAAAAACTCTCTTTCCATCTGTTATTAACCTCCTCCTTTCCAACAATTATGTTCAATGCCAATCGAAGAATTAATAATTTTCACCAGATTCTTTGTCGCAGCGGTCTCCCAAAGGCTTCTCACATTCCATGTTCCCATTCTCAGTTCCATGTTGCGCTTGCCAAGTTGTTGAAAGTCACCTCCAACTTTTTAAATGGGACACCCTACATACTTTTACATATTCTTGTAGCGAAAGAGAGGGGTTTTTAGTGGGTAGGGAATATCGAGTTGGTAATTCGATTTGGTACTCGAGTCCCACATAACTCACCGGACCGGCCTGTGAGTATGCATAAAATGCATTTTCCCCTCTCTCGTAAAAAAAAAAAAAAAAAAAACAATACAACATAAAAAAATAATAATTAAAGTGAAAATGTATAATAATAAAAAGTAAATAATAATTTAAGTAAGAGTAATAATAATTTCAAATGAGTAATCAAATGAAAGAGAGAGAGAGGGGGAGAGAGAGGGAGAGAGAATAAGAATTATGTATTCGCATGTGTGTGTATGTAGCGATCAGCTGATCGCAGCGGGCACCCGCGTCTGACGGTGAATCGCGCCACCCTTACCTGCCTCTTGTATCCGACCCGTTATAAGTTAATTACTTCTTTTAATAATTACTTCTTTAATAAAGTTATATAAAATTATAAATATTTTGTAATATATTAACAACTCTTCTATTTTACAACAATAAATAAAGTTTTGAATAAAATTTCAAATTTAAATAAATTATAAATCTATTCTTATCAAATATGATTTTTCATAAAAACAGCGTTTCAAATTTCTCTTTCTTTTCTCTTTGTTTCAAGTAAATTTTGCAGCTACTTCATCTCGAATCGTCGAAAATATTAAACAATATTTTCATAATCCTAGTAACGGTCTTTTTCATAGTATTTTGTAAGCATAAAGTGCCGATTTCTGTAAAAAAAATTTTGATAATGTGTATTTATAATGAAAAATTTTGATAATGTGTATTTATACTAATTACACTTTCAAAAATGGAGAACAAATTAAATAAAAATACAAATTAAGTAAATAATAATAACTTGAAATGATATAAAGCTTAAAAAATGTCTAAATTTTTCTAAAAAACATACAATTATATGATAATATTTTTATTTATAATTACAAGTTGTTTTACAAATGTTTCATCATGTTTTAATTGCTATTCAATGTCTTTTATGTCATCAAGACTTTTCTCTCATAGAAAATTTTTCATGCAAATTGTTTTCATCAGTATTATTAATTTGATTATCCAATTGCTTAGAAAAATTATTCTGTTTTTTTTTTCAATAAAAATTCGCTAATATTTATCAAGCTTTTAATAATAAATGTTTTAAAATGTTCGTCTTTTGTAGAAAAAGGTAAATCTTTATTTTTTAATTTATAATTATATATGAAAATTAAATTTTTATTGTTATATAATAATATTTCATATGATATTGCGTGCAATATTGCGTAGAAGAAAGATTACATATCTGTTTGTTTTAAATGATATAAGAAGGAATTTTAATTGATGTATCCAGGAGATAATGGACGTCACATGACGTATTAATAATACATATAATATAATTATTTCTAAAAAAAGATACATATAAATAATAAATTTTTTACCTGGATAGATATTTAAATTTACAACCACAAAGTTATCCTTATTTTAATATTAAATTTACTATTTTATTTATTTAAATTTTGTATATATAACTAAAATTTATATTTTTGAAGTCGTTATGATTTCTTTAAAACGGAATCTCACTCTCTTAATATTAATTTTAATACTGAATAAACATATAACAGGATTAAATAATACAACGTTTTTTAATTGAACATACATTGCAGGCTAACTTGTATCGCCATCATATAAAAAGCGAAAAAGTATTGAAATATGTTTTCATATTTCTAGAACAGTTACAACACTTAAAAAGTAATGCTGATACAGATGAAAAAACAAGAAAAAGTATATATGTATGTATGTATATTTATACGTATGTATGTTTGTATGAAATTTGTACATTAATATTAAATAACAATCTGGGAATTTATATAACATATTATTATTTATATTGTAATCTAGATTATCAAATATATATTATTTTAGTTATTTAATATTTGAAGAATACCTAGAAAGAATTTCTAGAATATTACTTATATTATAATATTAACTCAACAACCAAGTAACATTTATATAATTGTTAGTTGTAATTTCCCACTCAACAATATAACTGTTACATATTGTTGAGTGAGAAGTTATAATAGTTCTAATAGTATTACATATATATATGATACAAATTGAATGTTATAATGATATTTCATGAATATTATATGAACGTCAATTTGTTGACCAAAATAATATTCTAAAAACTTTTATAATATTTCACTGATATTAAAATAATATATCTATATACGATATTATATAAAGTGGACGTCGACAGAATAATTCCACGATATTAAAAAACATTGCATAATATTCTTGGAATATTATAATTATATCATTTTAATTTTTCAATAATATTTGTGCAATATTTTAGGAATATTGAGTGTTTATAGGGTAACAGCGCACTAGGTAATATTTACCTGCGATTGAAAATTAATATCGTTCCTGAGCTCAAGTGTCTTCCGTCCAGTGTCTTTCTCCACGAATCTACATGCAAAAAGAGTAGGGATAAAGAAAAATCGGTCGAAAAATGCAAGTCGATCACAGATTTGTAGTAAGATATTCTTATTATGAAACTTTTGTATAAAAGATTTTTTAATATTTTGAATAATTTTAGAGATATTTCGAAAAAAAAACAAAAAACATGTTGTACATATATGAGTAATTTTATCTCTTAAAATCGTTTTTTGAGCAATTGAAAATGTCTAACTTCATCGATTTATCTCTCTTACATGTGTGTAAAGTTTCGTCAAAATAAAAATTGATGTAGTTTTTTGGATAATTAAAAATTTCTAAATTCATCCATTTACCTCTCCTACGTATGTGTAAAGTTTCATCAAAATCAAAATTTTCCAATTTTCACGAAGTTTCCTTGTCAGTATATTTTGACATTAAAAAACATATGTGTTAAAGAATTTAAGATTATTATAAATGTTTTATTTTTTTTTTTTTTTTGTAACTATGGGAATCAAAGAATTTATGGCATCAGAATTTTCTCGTCGAAAACATCAATTTTAAACCACGCACTCACACACATGCAGTATCGAAACTCGACATTACTACAATATGTCTTATGTAACTTTGTTATCTTCTCCGCACAACATAATAGGTGTAAATATAGATCCCCAAGTATGGACCATGTCGTAATTGTTTATGTAGGTCACGCGAAACTCGTTTCTTTAGGATTTTATATTGTATATCTTTCTGCAGGTATTTTCTGATACCACTCCTCGATTTAATATCATCAATGGAATTTCCTTTCTATTTGAATAATATTGATGCATTTTTCTTAAATATTAATCATCTAAATTTTAATTTGTAACTTTATTCCGAAATATTAACGTTAATTTTTACTGCAATTTATTCAGTTTAATCTATTTCTTTTCAGATATTTTACTAATTAAAAAAAAAGTTATCATTAAAATTTATTTTACACCTTTTTATGCCAAATTTTGTTACTTGCATTTCAAAATCGAGAAAGTAACAGAAAGTAATTAAATAAAATTAAATAGAATTAAATTAAATTTGATATTATTTTGAATTTTCAAAATAATATCAAAACACTTCAAAAGTGCGTGCCACATTCCAAAGTTAAATTACATTTTGCGAAAGTTTATATATCATTTCATACACCAATTTACATCAATTATGTTTACTTGTCAGTCGAAAGTGCACGTATATTTTTTTGTAGGTTACGTCAATTAGCATTGCAAAGAAAAAAATATTAATAAATAATTGTGTACATATAACAAGTTGACATTTATAAATTGTACATGAGATAAATTTTAAGATTAACAAATTGCAATAACGTATGCTATTTTTTTATAAAAACGCAAGAAAAGTAGTCGACCTTGTCATTTTTTCTCTCACCCAATTTTGATCAAGTCACGCAGATGACTACAAAGATTCGATCTCACAATCAGTAGTTCAATGAATTTAACGAGATAAACACGAATCTCTCTTATCCAATCATTCATTAAAATTTCGATTTCCCACTCAAGTATAACTCGCGTTCTTGAAAAATTTTATCAAGATTGTAAAAGCAAGAACATCTTCATATGCACGACAATAACAGGTATTTTTTTTCTTTATTAAATCAAAAAAGGAAAATATATATGATTAATTTTTAATTATCTGCTAATTGTTTCACTTGAAATTGTCCATTTAAATTGAATCGAAAGTATATCAAAGATATACAATTCGAATAATAAAAAAATATCAGAAATATATCTAGTATATAGTAAATGTATGAGAAAGCACATAAGAAAAAAATATTACTGCTATCTTATTGTTTAAGAATTCATAAAGATTATTAAGAATTCATAAAGATTATTAAGTCTTGAAAAAAGTGAGAGATAATCCATTTTATGTCAATAGATATCGCGTTGTCGATGTAATATGTTATAATAAGTTATAATAAGTTCTTCATTCTCATCTCAAGTTTTTTTCAATGATTTCGAAATCACTAGAAAGATGCAATCTCATTCAGTTAGCATTTTTAACCGCTGATTAGTATTCACTTTGCATTCTTTCATTTTATATTACTCGCGTCATATGGCCATGATCGTAAAGAGGATGCCAACAGCTGACGTACTCGACCCTGATGCTATTCAAATCTACGACAATCTTGAACAATACTGCAACTGCCTGTTAACATCATGTTTTAAAAAGGGAAGAGATGCAATAAAGCGTTGTCATAAACCACTGATACTCGGTGATAGCCGCGCATCTGTGATATAAATTGTGCTTGAAGATCACATTTCTAAATATTATTCAAACTTTATCGAAGATGTTGATACGTCAACATCAAGAAGATCTGTGCAAAAAATAATATAAATCATATCAAATCATTGGACATTTAAATTAGCTAAATTTATAAGCTAGTTTAAATTCTTCTAAATTAAAGATTCTCGAGGAAATCAAAATTCTCGTCATCTCAGGAGCTCGGATTTCGCGATTCTATTGTGCTAAAATGTCAAAATTACAGCTATATATATAAGGAAAAAAGTTGACAAACTACAGTAAAGATTGAAATGCGAATGATACATCAAAACTAGGAAGAGACATCGGCACATGTGTTTGAAAGAAAATCAAAAGTGAAAATCATCGCTTCGCGATGTTCAAGTTCTACTTGACGATCTTGTTCCTGGGATACGTCGGTGGGATCTTGCCACCAGGTCTTCTCGAAACGATTCGTCACTTCTTCTCAGGCTTCCCGCCACCACCGAAGATACCGCAGAACGAGACACCAGATTACACTCTTCCCTTCGATTTCCTGGTGATTGGTGCCGGCTCGGCGGGATCCGTGCTCGCGAATCGCCTGACCGAGAATGCCAACTGGAACGTCCTGGTGCTCGAACAGGGCTACGACGAGAGCTTCCTCACGGATATTCCCTTTCTAGCGCCGATCCTTCACGTCACGGACTACGCCCGCGTGTACAAAAGTGAGCCGGGACCTCAGGATGCGAATGGCCAGGGCGGATACTGCCTGTCGATGGTCGATGGTCGTTGCAAAATAGCGTCTGGTAAGGCAGTCGGCGGCACCTCGGTGATAAACTTCATGATCTATTCGAGGGGTTCGCCAGCCGACTACGATACCTGGGGATTGGATAATCCAGGCTGGAGTTACGAGGACGTGTTGCCGTATTTCATCAAATCCGAGAGGTGTAAACTGATCGATAAAAAGGCAAGGTACATCAGAAATTATATGTTTATTCTCTTGTCCGCTTCTTCTTTCGGGAAGCTTTAATTATTAAATGTATAAATAAATTTTTCATTATTTTTTATGAAATCCAATATTTATTGGCAAATTATACATGTATAGTTTAATCATGAATCCTCATCATTTTTCAACAGTTTCTTTCATCTTGCAACGAATTATGTATTCCGAATCGATAAAAAGTCTTTGATTTTTATTTGCAAAAAATATAAGATAAAAAGATAAATTCAAATTATTCCTCTTCGACATTTAAATTTTTTGTCAAACAAAACATGTTGCATCGATTCAAATAAATTATTTGACGACATGTTGCATCGATTCGAATATATTATAAAGACACTATGTTCGGTGGATATACTGAGTAGAACAAAAAATCCAATCAAGTTCCAATAATGTGTCCTTTATCAATTTTGCCACATGTCAAATAAAATAATCAAATATGATTTACTGTGAAACTATTTGAATTCGACAAAATAAAATTGCAGATTAGTATTGTTATCTTTTTTCTTCGTTAGTTACTTCGTTTATAAGCGAGAAGTTAGAAAGAAACCTTACAAAATAAAGGTCCACTTAAATTTGAACCTCATCTGGCAAAATTGACCAAGAGTATCTTATTGTACTCCATCCGGATATAATACCTTCAGACTATTTATTTCGATAGAGCAAGCCTTGGCAGGACAAAAAAATTTAGAAATGTCAAGGAAAATGACTTGATGAATTTATTGCAAATAAAAACCAGACTTTTTATCGATTCGAAATTTATAAACTTTTTTAACTTATCTGAAAGATGGAAGCAAATCATGGGGATTACTTTCATGATTAAACTATACATATATACATATACATATATACATATATACATATATACATATATACATATATATATTATTTAAAATATACTAGCTGTGTAACTAAATTTTGTTCTATTTTTTATAGTATTCAATGTTTATTCATAAATTATATATATATATATATATATAATTCGTGAATAAACATTGAATATTATAAAAAATAGAACAAAATTTAATTACATACCTAGTATATTTTAAATAATTTTAATTGTACGAAATTTGTAATATTATTTCCTTTTCGCTTTATAATCTCTTGTTTCTTTTCTCGTCAGATACCATGGATACGATGGGTACCTGGATGTCACAACTCCTTCTTACGCTACTCCACTCAAGGAACGTTTCTTGATGGCCGGTCAAGAGCTCGGTTATGATCTAATAGATTACAACAGCGACAAGTCCATAGGCTTCTCGAGTGTGCAAGCGAATCTGCGGAATGGGCACAGAGTTAGCGCTAGCAAAGCCTTCCTCAAGCCGATCCGTGGCCGAGCAAACTTTTATTTGTCGAAATTTTCGACGGTGACGAAAATTGTCATTAATCCAAAGACGAAAATAGCCATGGGCGTCGAATTCGTAAAGAATCATAAAACTTACTTCATCTCTCCCACTAAAGAGATTATACTCTGTGCAGGTATATATTTAGGATATATTATAAGTTTGTGGAATAAAAAGATGTGATTTTATTTTCCACGTAAAATAAATAACGGATTTAAAATATTTGATGAAAAAGGTTAATTCTATGGATAAGAAAGCAAATATTAATTAAATTTTAGAAAGAAACATTCAACTTACAAATACATTTCAATAAAAGTTATTATATTTTACAAATCATCTTGCTACTTAATATATTTGTACGGGAATAAAAACTTCTTTCCCAATGCACAGGTGCTTTTGGATCACCAAAGTTACTGATGCTGTCCGGAGTAGGTCCGAAGGATCACTTGAGCTCCTTAGGCATCCGTACAATCGAGGATCTTCCAGTGGGATTTAATTTACAGGATCACGTGACCATGTCAGCTTTAACGTTTCTAGTCAACGAGAGCATAACCGTTATCGAACCGCGATTAACTTCCAGTCCGACTAATTTCCTGCAGTATCTGATACAAGGCACAGGTCCTTGGACGATACCTGGAGGCGCTGAGGCATTAGCTTTCATTAATACTAAGGCTAATTTGAGTATAACGAGAAGAAAAGTACACAAGCGACATGGTAAGCATTTTATAGTAGTTATTTTTAGAAATTTCTGTGAAATTTATATAAGGTCCATCGTTAGTATTTACTTTTTAGATTCTTTTGCCAAAGTTGTCTTCAAGCTTGATTGCTTTGAACGAGAAATGCAAAAGTCACATTTTATTTCTTGTAGGAAATTTTATTGCTCGGACTGTTCCCAATATAACTTCCATCACCATCAATCGTGACATCCTTGAAACGTATCCTAACAGAAGCAAATTAATGATAGAAGATGACCATCCCGATATCGAGTTGATATTGGGCGTAAGCTCGTTTCTTGGCGATGTGTCCGGAACTTTTCGCAGTTTACTCGGAGTTACCGACGATTTTTACAAAGAGGTTTATGGTGATTATGAGGGTCTCGATGCTTTCACGATTGTACCTGTGCTTTTGCGGCCCAAGAGCCGCGGCAGATTCACTTTGAGAAGTACCGATCAGTCGGACTCGCCGATCATCGACATGAATTATTATGATCACGAAGACGATCTAAATACGATGGTGCAAGCTATAAAGATGGCAAGAGAATCCTTATATATTAATATATAATATATATAATATATTTTTTGTTTTAAATTTATTTTTAATTACATTATTTGTCACCATTTATTTTTAATTACATTGTTACACTGATAAATATGAAAAATATTTTTATTATAATATAGTAAATTCTTATTAATTTTCATATAAGAAAAAAGATACGACACTTAAAGCTCTTAGTTAGCTCTTATATTCATGATTAATAATTCCAATAAACAGAGGTTTCATGTTATATTAAATTCTTCCGCGAAATAAGTTAATTGTTTTGTTTTTCCAAGAGAGTTAAATCAGGTAAATGTTAATTTCTCGAAATCTAGAGCTAATATAACTATAATATAACTATAATAAAAATATTATAGTGTCATATTTTTTCTCGTTTTAATTTGAACGAAAATTTGACTAATTTTATAATTAAGAGAGAAAAAAAATGACTAAATTTATAAAGGAGAGAAAAAATTATATAATTTTTTCTTTATTTTTCCAGGCAATCGACATAGCTTCCACGAGGGCGTTTAAACGTTACAACGCGACGCTGCTATCAGTACCATTTCCGGGATGTAAACACATTACTTTCAAGAGCGACCCGTACTGGGCCTGTGTCGCCCGTCACGTGTCGACGACCGTGGCTCATTACGCGGGCACGTGTAAGATGTCCACGCGGAGAAATTCGGGCGTGGTGGACCACAGGTTACGGGTGCACGGAATCGGTGGTCTCAGAGTCGCAGACGCCAGTATCATACCGACCATAATCGCCGGTCACACGACCGCGCCCGTGTACATGATCGCCGAGAAAGTCAGTGACATGATCAAGGAAGACTGGAAAAATTCTGCTCCGTGAATCACGCGCACGTGTGTGTGGGAAGCAAGAAAGTGGAGGAGGATGTTACACGTTACGTGGTATAAAACATGTGGGATATGTTATCGTGAAGACTGTGATTAAATGAAAATCACCTCTTGGATTCGAAGGGCATTGATCTCTGTGCCAGAAAAATTCGATAGAAACTCGTAAAGGAAATTCTGTGTATACGAGAGAGAGAGAGATGTGTTAGAATATTGTATATTACAACACGAACACGCACACTTTCTAGAATTTTTCTACTTGTTAGGTGAAATATTGTTTTCTATGGGAATAGAGAATAATTGCGTATAATTATTATGCACGTTTGATTCGCATGGGATAGGGATGACGTTCTGCTCAAGTGTGTAATCTAGTCGATGACTGTAGTGTTATTCACTTGGTATGTCAAGAAGAAAGAACAATGTCGTTATAATGATCTAACGGATTCGCTGCTTTCTCAACTTGAGAAAACACGCTGATTCTCTTTGGCTGCTTATGTGGTTGAACTGCTAGATAAGATATCAAATTTACATTAATCAAGCTCAATTTAAATAAATACACATATTTAAACTATAGATAAATTATTAAAGCTCTACGACACTCTATATATTTAAATACTCTAAATTAAATCAACGAAATTTTATAGATTTATGAAAAGCGCTGTTGGATACAGATTGTTATCCATCATATCCTTAAGATACGAAAAATTTCACGATAAAGATGATGGAAAGTATTCCGTACGCTTGCCACCCTGTTGCACCTACGAAAATGAGAAAAATCAAAACAAATAAATTTTAATATTAATAATTAAATCGATAAAAATAATAAAATTGATTTGATAGTTAAATCAAAATTTTTAATAAAAGATACCGTTATCGGTGAATTGAATGCAATCCTGCAGCTCTTCCATCAAGGTATAACCATCGGTACAAGTGCAGAAACCTGCAAATGATTAAAATCACGTTCCTTCAGCGCTATTCGGATGATAAAGTTTATATTTAATAAACGATTACATACCATTAACACAATCCACTTTCGATTTCCACGTCGAATTGGAATCCCTTAAACTTCCAGTGATACAATGATGGTGAGTCTCGCAACGACCGCCCAGTTCTAAAATTGCAAAATGCGTTATTTTTGACATGAATGATAAGATTTGCATCCAATATACAATTATATTTTTCTCGAATTTAATTATAATTCTGATTGTAAACTTTATTCTCGTCTCGTATCAAAAATATCAAAGACGTGTTATTTCAAATAAAGATAACAAGATTAACAAGAAAATAAAATCTTTTTATAAAATTAGTCAATTTTCATTGAAGATGAAACGAGGAAAAAATTATGAGCATAATATTTTTGTTAGGCTTCGAGAAATAATATATTCAATTCTTTTAATAAAACAAGATACTTAATTTAGTAAATTTAGCGAGAAAATTTAATGTAATGCAAAATTCTTGTTTATTGTAGTTAATATATTATTATATTATATTATTATATATATATATATATATATATATATATATATATTGTTATATTATTTATATATATAATTAATATATTGGAAAACACAAATAAAATATTGTAAATAAAATAAGTAATTAGTGGAAAATGCTCCATGAAAAAGTACTAATTTTGACAATTTATTTTTATATACATTTAGTGTTTTTACAATTAACAATTAATGCCTTTATATATTTTTACACTTATTAATGCTCTACTAATCTTAGAAACAAAAAACCCAATTATTATTCTATAGATATTTGCTGTTAAAAAAGTAGTTGAAAAAATGAAAAACTGAGAAAGGAAAGATAGCTCACTGAACGACACATCATAACGTAAAGAGTTAATTGTATATTTCTCTAAATCCTGAAATAAAATTTCATAAAAATTAACTTAACTAAGTGTTTTAAATGTCATATTCTTGTTTCTTATGAGAAAATTAATAAGAATCGTCTACATATTATTATAGACAAATTTTTTCATATTTATCAATATAATCAATCATCGCGTTTAGGACTAATATACTCGCCAACATCGACGTAACATCGACGACCACGTCTATGAGAGCCGACGACGCAATCGCACGTCCCGTTTGCATCGCATTGGCTATGCTTCAGGCTCATCTGGCACTGAGATTGCTGCTCGCACTCTTCACCGATCCAAAAAGCGGCTTTTAAACACCGTTTGCCGCTCTCGGCCAGCACATAATCCACTTTGCAGTCGCATCTGTTGTGTATGCACCTCGAATTCTCCACCACGCATTCGTCGTCGCTGTTACAGTCTTCGTTTAATTCTAAAAAAAGAAATGTGTTATAGATACATAATTTCATCAATACAAATAATAAAGTCTCTGACATAAAGTCTGTGACAATATAAAAAATTAGATTAATAAGAGTCAACGCAAGATGCTATTAAGAATATGCTTTTTGATCATATGCTTTTTGATATGCTCTTTTACACAATTATCAAAAAAAGTCCAAAGTAGAACCGAAATATATAAAAATGAAAATATTTTTTCTTATTTTATCTTAGTCTATTTTAATTTTTCATGATTTCATACACAAACTGCAAAATACAATGGGATGTTTTAGCGAGAGGGAGGGCTATCTTTTTTATATTTTATTTTACTTTGTATTATTGTTAAAAATCGAGTCTACTTTAGAAAGTAAAAAATCAATTTTTTTACATTTCTGCCTTTCAAAGTTTATTGAAAAATTCGCAAAATTGATAAAGTTACTTAAACATCAATAAAAAAATAAAACACTAAAAAAATTTCAATTTTTAATATCCTTCAAGAAAAATTCTTAAAAATTATCAATTTTTCTTAAGGAGTAGAAGAAGCTGAAAGGGTAGGTTCGAACAGCTTGCAGAATTCTCGCAAAAAATATCGAATGTAATAGTTTCTATTGATTGTTATGATACTTACTGGCGCTCGGTAGACAGCCGGTGTTGTCAGGATTCGCATGATGACGCAAACCGCAAGTGCAGAAACCGTATTCGCAAAAGGTATTCTTGATGTAGCAATTGCGATTCGAGCGGCAACGTTTGCCTAAACCTATAATCGAGCACAAGATAACACTAATATTGTTAATTAATCAAATATATATTTATCGATTACATATGTATTCTACGTATTATATGTATTTTTCCTCAATCCTATTTATTATGTAAATGTGTTAATGTAATAAAATATATTATTAAATATAATTATAAATTGTGTTAATGTAATAAAATATAAGTAGAACGTAATTTTTTCAAACAGTCACATGTAAGTTCACATGTAAGTTATATAGGATTACATGTAAGTTATATATGTAACTTGAATTAAATGTGTAAATAATCTTAATAATATAAATTTCACAAATTTCCATATTTTTTGATCATTTAATGAATATTATACATATTAATTCTTCAGGTATATAAGGAAGCCATTATTGATTACATTTTAATAAATCATTCTGGTCTTTTAGGACGTATAATAAATTATTGAAATTACAAACTTATATAAACATCAAAGAAATTCTAGAAAATTATTAAGTATAAAATTCACAAAATCAGAATGCAAGCTTATAAAAAAAAGTTTTGAAATTAAAGACAATGCAAGTCAAGTGCAAGGCTGATAGCAGTTATAGCGAGTCTAATTGCAAGAATAGAATTTAAAACATCGATCATATCGCTTCAAAATAATAAGAGATAAGCTGGATCTTATCTTGATATCGATAATTTAAAAATAAAAATTTATATCAATGTTACAACATTATTATATCAACAGTAAATCTTGCAATTTCAAATAATATATTATATCGTAAGATCTCGCTTTACGTTTCTTCTTGCATCGAATAAACTTTTCCATTCTATCTCTTCCCCCTATTAACTCACGGGATATTTATTTTTCCCATAAATATGCGTAATGAAGGGCCGACTGAAGCGTTTCTCAGGAAAACAACACTCACCGACGGACTCGTAACACCTTCCATCCGTGAAGTGAGAATCGTGGGCGCATTGACAAGTGCCTTCTCGACATTCCGACTGCGGTGTAAATGTAAACTCACACTGGATATCTTCCTCGCAGGGATCGCCGATGTGAGTGGCCACTGTCGAAATAACATGGTTATCTCATGCAAGTGTCCACTCAACAGATTTGTTTCGTTAGAAAACCGTTATACAAATTTCTTATATCCTATTAATAAAAGTAAAAACGCACAGCTTTATTTTTCATTTACATCTCGGAAATCTGTGACGTAACGTCTGAAGGTGATTTAGTGAAATTACGAAAATTTCAAAAGTGCAGTTCAGACATTATTATTTGTAGGACAAAATATCCTCAGAATGCTTCGCAATTCGCGATGTTTATTTTAACGATCTGGAATTTTTGCTAAATTTTTAATCGATTTTAATTCAACTTAAAATATAAATTTAATTTAAATATTTTATTGCGCGTCGAAAGGGCTGTATCTAAGAACGGATTTACGCCGTTCTGACTCATTCATAGAAATTATTCTGATCTCTGTCGGCTCAACGAGCACGACGAACGACACGCTCCAGGTGAGACGGGATCGTGAGAAAGGAATAGGGATGGACGAGTATCTCCGCGGGATCTCGGTTCTTGAGGTCGATGACATCGATCCCGAATGTTCAAGTAATTAGAGACTGAAATTTAGAGTACAATTTATCTCATCTTTTAACTCTTTTTTGAAATATTATTTTATACCTGATGTAGAAAATTGCGAGATTAATGTTAGTGTATATAATCGGTTCGAAAAAAAGTACCTCTTAGACATCTGTAGTTGTTGTTAGTCCTGAACTCGATGTGATTTTCTTTGCACGAGCAGGTTTGTTGGTTTTTGCAAAACGCATTCGCGATACAGTCGACATCGTATTTACACACTGAGAAAGTTTCTGAAAAATATTCGTTTTTGCGTAACGCGATATGTTACCACTAGAAAAAAAAGAAAGAATTTCTTATAATTATAAAATGTAAGTTTTTACATTTTATAATTATAAGAAATTCTTTCTTCTTAAATTTTAGAATCTTTAATCACATTGAAAAAAAGTGAAGAGATAAAAAAGAAAGCCTAGCATTTTATGTATTCATCGATCAAATTGACTGTGAAGTCCCTCAAAAGCGATCAGTGAAAAACGGGAAGTATCTTATATTACGTCATTTCGTTTTGTTATTTTCATTGTTAAAAGATTAATCTATTCTAGCAGTATGAAAAATTGATTTTTAGAAATTCTTTTTAAGAATATTAGAAATTAAGTTTTTAGGCATTTTACATATGGTTTTATTGATATTTATATAAACAGTACATCAATAAATTTTTAAATCCTACAATTAGATATTTAGTTTTTTTATTCAATACAAATTTCTGTGTATAAAAAATAAAAGTGTGACATTCTCGTGTAATGTAAAATGAAATGTGTAGCCTGAAATGAAAACTCTAGTTTAATTTTATATATTATAATATATTCAGTAGGATTTTTTGAGATACTGAATTTAACTTCATTAGAAAAAGATGAAAAATAAGTAATGTCATTTTAAAATTAGATAATTTAATTTTGCTGAAATTTCTTAAAGATCAGAAAAATATAATATTATTATATATATAATTTATTATATATTATTATAAAAATAATATTATATTTATTATATATTATTATAATATTAATTTTTTAAATCACAATTATTTAATTTAGTTCTAAAAATATCCTACGGAATAAAATTAAACGAAATTTTTCATTTCAACCTATTACACGAAAAACAGCATGTCATTTTTGAACTCGTTACGCGCAAAAGTTCGTATTGAACAAAAAAAGGAGCTAAATATCCAAGATTTAAAAAATATTGATGTATTATTTAATTACATCAATAAAAATATATAAAAAATGTCAAAAAGTTTATATATACTTTTTTTAATATATATTATAGATTATATTTTTTTAAATGATATATATATTAATTTATATATTAATATTCTTCAAAAAAAAAATCCTGAAAATCATGAATTTCTCATACCTAGAATAGACTGGGGACCCTGGATTCGCGAACAATATAAAATCTCATGTCGTAAAATCTCTCAATTGCGAAATCGTCGAATGCGACAGGCCCCGAGTGTCTGTATATTTCATTTGTAAATTTTGCTTACTATTGCTACTGCGATTATTATTATTGCGATCGTTGCATCGCGACGGGTCTTCGTTGCTGTTGACGTAGGTGATCGTCGCGCAGACGGTAACGGGTACGAGGACGAGGAGCCCCGTGAAGCCGCTTACCGTCCACGTCTTCGTCATCCTCGCGATGACGGCGGACAAACGCCGCGTCCGGAACGTTTCATCACCAAAACCGCCGGTCGGCCTGTTGTCATTTTCGGTCCCCGTCACGGGACGATCCGATCCGATCGCTCGAAGGCCGCCACGTCACGATCGGGGCACAGCCGGGGCCCCGTTTAGCCTTACGATGACGCTCTCATTGTTTCCTCGATGTTAGCTTGCGCAATCGCAATACAGGCAGAAACACATACAGGCTACACCCTCGAACGGATATCATCGAGGCGTATCCCGCATAATCATCCTCTGCCTATGTCGATCACTTCTTCGCCTGCTCGAGGCGAGACATCGGTGAAAAAAAATAGCTTATCGTTCAGTCGATCTTGGATGAATCAATCTGGAATTTTGTCCGAATCATGTCCGACAGTTATTCGATGAAAATTACAAGATCTTCAAATGTTTTCAACTTGCTATTGTTGCGATAAATTAATTTTTCAATCCGATTTATTCGAGTTTTCTTCGCGATTTTTATTTTTCATTTTTATTTTTTAATAAAAGAATTCATACAATTGAAGAAATTAATTGTTTTTCATATAAAATTCAAATTCAGTTCAACGATACCTCGACTAATTCTCTGCTAAAAGAATCTTCTTTACAAGTAAGTATGTCTATTTCAGGCTTAAATTAAAGAGCACACGATATATATTTTAATTTTATTTTTCTATCTAATATATTTTTTCTCTAATTTATTTTTCTCTCTAATCATATGTACAAGCCTAATTTGAGACGATCTAGTTCACAAACGATCGCGTGCGAGTGGGCTCGTCGCTATAGAATCGCCTTGTTTCGTCGATTTCTCGACAGACCAGGAAATTATGGTTGAACACGCACCCCGTAGAGAATTGGTTCGGATTCGAAAAAAAAGATGTGCACATTCATCGGCGGTAATCATCGGGAATAATTTGCGCTGACTTGTCATCGGCGAATAACAGATGCTAAACCGTTCGAATGCACCTTACGATCCCGTTCGACTTCCGAGTTAAAAATAGCACATCTAATCTAATACTTCCTGTCTAATACGTCCTAATGCTTACTATTGTACAACGTGTAAGTTAAGTTCGTATGGCAATAGGCATCTCTTCGATACAGATTGAAAGCCTGAAAATTATTTACACAGCTGCAAAAATTTAAATTTATTCTTTTTTTTAGTTTCAAGAAGATATAACTTTTAAAGTCTGGTTTTATGTCCTATTTTATTTAAATTTATTATGCCATGTTAATTCTTTTTTTTTCAAACAATAAGTATCAAACGCCATTTAAATCATAGTGATTCCACATCACAAAATAAAATCGTGTATATTTCCTACTTTGGATTACAACATGTAAATTAATTAATACGACCTCTCTTCAATAGATTAAAAGCCTGACAATTATTTATTATATTTATTTATTATATTTATTATATTATTTATTTATTATATTTATTATATTATATATATTTTATTTTATATATTTATGCAAAAATTTAAAATAGATCTCTTTTATTTTGAAGAACATATATTTATGTACAAGTGCGTGTGAGATATTTAATTTTCAAAATTCATATCTCGTTCTGAATCTCTGATACTTTATTTCAATTTACTATCTTATCCTTTTTTCAAAGGATCCATTGCAACATGCGCGATTTAAATCACGGTGAGTTCACGTCATAAAATCGTGGGCCAAGTTTCCCGCTTTGGATTTCAACGACGATCCCGTAAATGTTCGAAGGTCGATCGTGGCGGATACGCACAAACGAGTTTAGCGCCCTTTCTATAGTTTCAGTATCTGTTGCGCAACACACGCGGTGCTGTAACAGCACAGCAGAAGCCATTGTTGTGTATCTCGATTTACAGTGCCGTACATTTTAGAAAAACTACTCGAACCCGAATTATATATATTCTGAAATCTCCCATTCATCGAATGCAAGAAGTGCGAATTATCAATCAGATAATCGCCCTGAAAGGGAACACAAATTGCAATTAAATGTGGTAATTATGATAATGCTCATGAATGTAATTACAATGTCGTATGTTAATGACGTTATTTGTAGAGAACTGTGTCTAAGTTTTTGTCGAAGACCCGGAATGTTGCAATCCCCCTCGCTAGTCCAGAGAGCATTGTTAAGTCGGAATAACAGACGAGCGAAGGAAACGGGGCGCCCTCCCACCCTCTTTGTGTTCTTTAATTATGTGATCGCCGTATTCTCTACACTCGACATTCAGCTAACTGTGAGAACCAGGAGCGTAGATCCGGTCTCCGTGACTCGCCACGATCTTCGTGAAGATTCCCCACGAAGGAGAGGAAGAGATTACTGGGTCATAAAAATGCTATCCTTAAAACACTCCTCGACGCTTGCGAAACGTCAAATTCGTCGAGACCCGATGTTTCGATCTACGATTTTATACCTGCCTAAGGTTGAATCGATTGATCAATAGTTTGTAATTAAACAACATGATTGTAACTCTTTTTTTTAAATTGAAACTGTTCATTTAAATTGAAGATGTTCAATATTATTATTACTATCTTTTCACGCGGTTCTGTAAAGCTTACTACAATGTAATTAGCTACAATGTAAACTACGATTGACAATTATTGTCATAATGATTAGAAGAGAGTTTTATGAGATACACTTTATTTGTTATGAAACTTTTATTATTATTGTCCTAAGCAAAATTGTCCTGAAAAGGCAATGTTCAGTCTTATTTATCGGAGCATTAGATTGTAAACTCTATAAAGGATAATAATAATATTAAATATCGCTTCAATTTATAAAAAGAATCGAACATTATAATTAAAATTAAAATTATAGCAAAGTTATTAATATTGAAACGTTAGATCATAGAAATGCTATCCTTAAAACAATCAATGTGTTTGTGAAACGTCAAATTTGTCGAGTCGCGACGTTTCACGCGATTTGTATTTGCCTCAGCAGAGTTGAATCGATTAATCGATAGTCTATAATTAAACACGCGTGATCGTGATTCGATACTTTTTTTTTAAACAATGTTGAATATTATCATTTTCAGAGCGCGTTTCTACAAAGCTTATAATGTAAATCGCTCCGATAAATAGGACCGGATATTGACAATTTTCTTAGGACACTTTTGCCACACCTAATGATTAGAGAGTTTTATGACACTTTACTTGTTATATAAAATTATATTATAACTAGAATTATAATTCAAATTATTAATACGATGAAACACTATTCTTATTTTACATTTTACATTCGTTATTATTAACGTAACGTCACGTTAACGGATATTTTTATGAATTTTATCAATTTTGAATGACGTCGAAATGACTCTCGTTACGATGAATTCTTCAAGTTCGTTTACTCTAGAATCGTGATTATGATTTTAATTTTAATCCATATAATTTTCACTGAAAATGTCTTTCAATATTCAGCATCATTCCCAACTATTGTGTTATTAATACTCTCATTGTGCAAACATAATTTAAAACATAATTTAATTAATTTCTCAGAGAAACATTCTCCGCAAGTTCTTTTTCATCCGCGTATCTCGATATTGTCATTCGATTTACAAGCTTCGCAATAATTTTATATTAATTTTATATTGCGTAAATAATCCTTAAATTTTATATTAATTTTATATTGCGTAAATAATCCTTAAATTTTTTTTTAAACATTTTACCTTCAATCACGTTTATTTGACGATGTTGTAACTATTTTTTTTCTAACAAATCAATATGTAATTTTTTTGTGTTTTTCAAAAATATCGTTATTCTCTCTTACTCGCAATATCCCTTGTGTCGCACTCGATTTTTACACTCATGTTGACGAAATAGGTGCTTACTCTGTCCGTGCGCGTCGGCGACTGCGATCTCTACAGCGAAGCAAAGCACGATTGACAGTACAATAGTCCGCAGCTCCCTCACCGGAAGACTCCTCGGTTCTCCCGCCATTTCTTCGAAGAATTCGCTCCTCGTATTCCAGGGAAAAAATTCACAAAAATTCGCCGTCGAAGTGATTTTTTTCTCCGGACACTCTAAGCTTTTATACGCAAACACTTGATCGCGTCTTTTAACTTTCCCTCAGGAAAAATTCTTATTTATATCTCGATGATTGAATGAAGATCCGGATGTAATAGTGGTGTCAGAATTGAGTTGATAATGGCATTGTGACAACAAAGCGACGTAAAATGAATATCTTTCGCAAGATATGTTTCTTAAGAAGTCATTTTATTATTACATTTTTTTCAGCTAAAATGTACACTATGAGAATAATACTTACAAAGGCTTCTTTGCAAGACTCATTGTCTATTTATTTGAGTTTTTTATCGGAAGTATGTGATTTGAATATCTCTAAATAGCATCTCTTTTAAAACCATGAGTTGAGGATGATGCAGGATATTGAGAAATTTATTTTATGATATAAGAAATATATTTTATGTTATAGTAAAAATGAATGTAATAAAGATAGAATTTTATAATTGTATCAAAAATTTGAATTTCAAGATTATCAATTTTAGAGAACTTCGTGATATATATATATAATCGATATATTGCTTAATGATATCAGCCGCTTATTCGAACAAAAAAAGAAAGAAAACAAAATTTATATAAAAGCGGAGATTTATATAAAAACAGAGATTCAGGCAAATGTAAAAAAAGACAAACAGAAGCGCTTTGAAAATCACATATCTAGAAAATTATGCATCTAAAAATACAAATGCTTTAATTTTATAGTAAAATATTTAACTGACATAAGAGAGAAAGAGGAAAAATTCACTCAGTGAAATGTAATTTGAAAATATTCTCATTTTTTTTTCAAATAGCACAAAAATATCTCGATAAACACAAAGTAAGACTTCGAAACTTACACATTTCTTTTCGTTTGAATCTAAGGAAAGCTAATAGAGTAAATCTTCGTGATATATACAATTTATATTACTTGTTTAAACGAAACTTATATAAAATGTGCGATTATATTCCATTCAGCACGAACATCTGACATTAGACTTTTTACAATCGAGCCACGAAGATACATGCTTTTCCATTATTCAAAAAAAGGATAGAAACGAAGAAATTTTATTAGCGTTGATTTTACTTTTTCTATATATAATTATTCTCGTAATTTTTAATAAATACAAAAATATAGTGTGATAAAAAATTATCGGGCACATCTGTGGCTCGAGTTCAAAAAAACGAAAGAGAATTAAGATTTCCATCAGTTGGATGCTTTATAACTTCGCGCTCGTGAATTTTATCCAGTTTAAAAAGTAATAAGGGACGCTGCCGGCTAAAACCGTACTGTCAGCATCTGCATTTTAACAATCGCATTAATTAAATACAGAATGGAAGGCTTTAAAACACGCCGACTAGCTGTCGCCTTCGCTCTGAGTTTTGCCGCGCAATTACAGCGGCATTTAATATTGCAATTTTGTTTTCATGCCATTTTTCCTAACGCTCTGTTTTTCCACAACCGCTTTTTCGAAAAATAAAGCCTTCGCGTGTTTAAGAATGAAAATAAAACTAATCGTGGAAACGGCTGCTTTTCTATATTCAAGAAAAATCTTTAAAAAATTCGCAATTTATATAAATATAAATATATTACTTATATTCTCTTTAAAAAAAAATATCACAACTTATTACAAAAATACAATCAGCTAATATGTAACAGGATTCTCAATCTCTTATCGAAAGAGGCCATGTATTGATCTCTCTATTTTTTCTTTTTTTTGTACCTTTTTTTCTCACTTTTCAACTGTCATCGTGACAGTCTTACAAATACACGCGCACATTTACACGGGAAATTCACACAATCGTATGCATCTTTTAGTTTGCCAGGCACTATGTGTCCAAGCTTCTTATGCACGTTAAAGCAATATTTCTATTATTTGTGAGAAATTTGCGACTCTCCTCAGAGTTCTCGTAATAATACAAATAATTACAATCCCTGCAATAAAGGTTTGCCTTAGACACAACAGCGCCTTTGTTTGCGTTTGCACTAATGTGTTTCCTCCTTAAATTTATCTCACAAATGTACACATAATAATAGTTAGGATTATCAAAAGTTTATCTTTGTTGACTTGCAACGATATCGCGTGTTTCTTCGCGCGGGGAAATTATATCTTACAGGAATAAAGCGCTGCAAAGTAACGTTATCACAGAGACGGAGATTATTGATGTCCTGAGCGATGATGAACCTGCAAATGAAAATTGCGAATAAAATCAAAGAGTTTTTCCCTTAAGTAAATTAATTCTTAAGCTAATTAATAATTAATTTTCATCTTAATGTAATATAAAACAGTATAATAAATAAAATACTCCAAATAAGAGTAATATGTCCTAGCTTTATTATAATATTTTTTTCATCACTTTTTATAGCGAATCACAAGCAAAATAGGAGAATGAGATATAAGAGAAAAATTAAGACGGAATAAATCAAAGAGGCATTGCTAGAAACGATGAAGATCAAGGAACTACAAATGGATGTTAATATTTTTTTAGAAGAATAATGCAATCATTGTAAATATTTAATCAAGATTTTTATTAAGCTAGAATATGAATTTTTGTTTCATCGCGCGCAAATTTTGTAATTTAAAAAAATATTTTATTCATTTTTATTTTATTTTTTATATTTTTGTTGTAATTATTTAACATAAGTCATTTTTCACCGAAGTCTGGGAAGAAATGTTCTTTTCAATTGTAAAAAATTCACCTAATTAGAATACTTCAATTAATAAAAAACGAACGCAATTATTAATCATAATATTATTAAATTTGTGTAAATTTCAACCATCAATAAAATCTGTCATAAATATATTTCATATGGATTTAAATTAAATATGCGACGTATTACACCATTTTATCCTGTAGGATATATTAAAGAGAGATGTATATCATTCACTCACCGGCGCTCACACATGTGTTCTCTTGCCTGACATAATTTTCGGCGCACGTGCATCTGTTAGCCTTGCACATTACAGATTTGATCGACGAATCATTCTTCTTCTCATAATCCTCGGGCTGATAACACTCGTAATCATTTGCGCAATCATCATCGAGAACTGTAAAATAATGTAAACGACTCCTTGGTATCTAACTATCTATTATATACGTATATTTTATTTTTTCGACGCGCAATCGTTTATCGCTCTGCGATGTGTTGTGACAAAGCGAGCCTATGAGTACCTCTGTTGGGAGAACACCTAGCCAAGTTGTGTTCGTAATGATAATTCGCTTCGCACTGGCATGTCTTGTCGAGGCACAAAGAGTTCTTGAATGTCGCCACGCATTGCACCGACTCCACGCATTCGTCTTCGATTTTTGTCGCAGCCATCAGACATCTCTTGCCGTCCTCATTCAGGACCATTCCGGACGAGCATTCGCACTTCATATCGTTCGTGCAGATCACATCTTCAATATGCGAGCATTCCGAATTTTTCCTGCAAGGTTGCCTGTATCCTGTAAATATAATTGTATTTGTAATTGTAAAAAAAATACAGAGAGAATCTCTTTCTCTCTCTCAATTAATCGCGAATAGTCACGAATCGATGTAGTTGATAGAAGAAATTAATTACGAAAGTCGTTTCGAGTCATAAAAAATTATAATTTATATTTTCTCTCTACAATAAAGTTTTATAATAATTTGAGATAATTTTTTATAGTAATTTTTTAAATTATTTAATTGATTATTACTGGTACTTACCGACCATTTTCCAACATGCATTGTCTACGTAATAATAACCGGATATACAGACGCATTTATTTTTCTCACAAGTGGTGTTCGCCAGAAATGCCAAACATTGATTTTCATCCATGCAAAAAGCGTCGATCGAACGGACCTCTATGTATTTAAAAAAAATCATTTAAATGTTAATAATGTAAGCAAAGCAAATAAAATCCATTTTATATTTTAATTCGAAATCAGATTAAAATTCTATTTGCAATTTTACATGCATATTCAATTTTATATTCATATTTTGATAATACATGCGTGTATTTTTAAGTTTAAGAATAATTTTATTTTAAGAATAATTTTATAAATTGTTTTTATCATAAATAAAATTTTCTGTCACGAAATGTATGGATTGTATATGATTCAAACTCCATATCAAGAAAGTATTAAAATTCAAACTTAATGTGTGAAGAGTATCTAATCTATCAATTTTTATTTGATAAATAAACTCAAATGTGCAAAGAGTATCTAATCTATCAATTTTTATTTTTATCTTATTTTTATTTTTTTTTCGTAAAAACAAGTATTTTTACTATTCATCCGCACTTACTTTGGACACAACGTTGTTTATTCTTCGACGGCACATAATCCTTTATGCAGTCGCACTGCCTAATGGTACTGTTGCAAAATCCACCCTCGTATTTACAATCCTGATCGTGTTTACACGTTCGATAAAACAGCGGACCTAAAAAAGAAAAGATATTTTGCTCGCTCGTTCGTTTATCGAAGAATTTCGGTGAATAAAAAAGCAAACAAAAATTCTGATATATATTTGAATCATGCTGATTATCACCTCTAATCTCATATATGGATGTATGAATCGAGCAGCGCTTAAATCCGTTATCAACATTCGGACACATGCAATATCCATCCTTGCAAAAAGCATCTGTTTGCGAAAGCACCGGAAGTATTGACATGTTCCTACAATCTGACGTGTTTCCGCATGGAATAGGCGTGTCTGCAATCGGATCAGTCGTTTCAGAAAGGACATGCGTCAGAAACAAGGAAATTTATCGGGGATAAGATGAAGGTTCCATCAGGGACTATCTATTATATTATATTCCCGTTCTAGAGAATTATTATAAACAAAGCGAATATTTTTTTTAGCTACTCTGTATTTTCAGATTTGATAGACATGTTTCTAAAGGAAAAATTTCATAAGGAAAAATTATTTGACATAAGACAAATTTTATTATTTTTGATTCGATAAAATTCGATAAACGTCGAAAATTCAATCAACATGTTTTTAATAAGGGATAAATTATTTGACATGAGACAAATTATTCTTTTCGATTCAATCATAAGATTCATAAACGAATTCATAAGATTCATAAACGAATTCATAAACGACGAAAATTTAATCAGATTGAATTTAAAATGTTTCAAAATATGTGAAACTTATTAAACCCAAGTCTTCGGAGAGACTTCCAATGAAGATAAATAACATCATCTGGCAGGAAAAATATTTGTCTGAATATTCTACAGTGTTATCAAGTACGAAATTAATAATAATTAATTTTAGAGACACATGTCTCGATAAAATAATAAGCGGTCGATTATGATACATATAATTAAATGTGCATGCGTAATGAATAATAATAACACGTAAATGATAAATTTATTATGATATATTTATATTAAAAAAGTCAATTAATATCTAAAGTAAAGAGAATTTATTCGAAAGCTACGTTTTGCTTAATTAATAGGAAAATGTGTCATTAGAAAATTTGGCGGGCAAAGAGAAGCAAACATAGAAAAACATAATAAGATTGATAAGAAAATGCTATGTTATTATGAATCATGTGTCATAAGTCATAATCGTCAGGTATCGAGTATCACGATTCAAATGTTACAGATGACTAAATATTATTCGATATCTCAGATTTAACGAATCTCCAAATTCATTAGTTGCTTTTTCCTTAGATAAATAAATCAAAGGAGACTCGATAAAAACCTGACATAATAAAAACATTTTTTGAATTATATTAAAAACATCCTAAGTTATATTAAAACCATTCTAAAAATTATTATTGCTCTAACATCGCAATTCCCAATTAATTAATTAATTACAATTATAATATATTGTATATTTCGTACGATATCCAGATATAGAAAAAGAAGAGACACAAAGAGAGAGGCAAAATTCCACGAGATCTCTCTGGGAACAAGAGGTCACTCGTGTCACTTGAGATATTTACATGCGCATCGTTCTGCGTAATTATATGCCAAGCGTGTCGAGAATCCCTCAGAAACGTGCTCGCAAGTGAAAATTAGCGAATTGATTAAAAGCGACAGACTCGACTCACCGATCCTGTCAGCGCTGCTGAGACCTATCATCAACACGATCAGAGCCGCGTACGATCTCATGCTTGACGGATTCTTCCTTCCTCTGATTCTTGAGATCGATGCCATTGCGATGTCGAACACTGCGTGTTCGCTCGTCGAGTCCTCAGTCTGTCCGTGGACTTCTGTCTGTCAGACGTGGATCATCGATCAGCTTAAGTTGGAGCTTTCGCGCGCGACTGACGAAGGCGAAACCGAAACGCCGAAGGCCTCCTCGTCTCGTTTGTTGTCCCACAACCCCGCTCGCAAACACACATTCCGTATATCCTCGTTCCTCTCTGACTCTCTCCCCACTACAATGGTCGCTAATTTTCTCCCGGCTTCGAAATTGTCCAGCTAATCGGGCTTTTTTATAAAAATTCAATTATTTTATCAAATTGACATCATAAGGACGTGTTGTACAATTGTTATCAATATTTTTCGTTTGTTATTCTTTTTTTTATTAAGCATGCGTTTTAATTATCCTGTTGACCACTTATTGAGTCATGCTTTTTATCAGAAGCTACAAACAATTGTTTTCAAGTAAAAATACAAAACAGAACTGCACGTTTGTAACATGCGCAAATAAAAGTTTCGTATCTGAAAATATTGGTCGTTAAGATTATTAATCGTATGTAATTTTATAATTTTTTTTTCTGTTGACAATCTTATAATTATTTTGTAATTGTTATATTGTTATATTCATTATATTAATAATTGTTTTTTTCCTCGTCTAGTTTCTCCTATAATACTTTATTTACAAAAGCGTTCATAACAATGTCGTTTAAGAATCTTAAGCACGTACGGATATTTCTGTTCATATTTCGTGAAGAATCTGATCTGTTTCTATTCATTATTTTATAACTTTTATAATAATCATGATTTAACTCTCTTTCTCCAAGTTTATTCATTTCTTCCACATGTTTGATTATTCACGCACTTGCCATATCGTTCATTTCGTCATCCGTATTACTTCATCGTTCGCGATTCTCATCTTTTAATCAATTTTAATTCTTATAACGCAAAAACCAGACGAAACTAGATTTTAATGAAACTATAAACTATAAACTTCTATGCCTCACGATTGTCATGTGTTGCTAATTAAAGTTAATGAGTATTGTGTACAAACTGTCCCAAATCTTCTAAATTTCCTTTCGGATTCTTTAGTCAATTTGAAGACAATTTTTCCTCGGCAAAAATATCATCATTTTTTGTAAGCTTTCAATTTTTGCCATTATTTATTTTTGTAACTAAGCCTGAAAAATTTTCTAAAAGTGAAAACGTCACCTGAAATTAACTGAAAAATATAGTTAATGTTAATGTTTTTTACTTTACAAAATTTAATTTGAAGCTCTTCTCTTTCAATCACTTATAACGTATTTGTTGAGGAAAAATCGTTCCCAAATTTGCCAGAGAATCCGCTTTTAAACGAAAATTCGGAGATTTTGGAATATCCTATATATTTTAAACATATATACATATATTATCATATCTTATTTCCTCGTTATTCATTATATTTTATTTCCTCATAATTTTTTTATTTTAGCAAGATGTCAATGTACACCATATTTACACATACTTTACACATTCAGCTTTCCACAAGTTGCCAATAGCATAAACGCAACTTGTGAAAAGCTGAATGTGTAAAGTATCACAGAAGCGTGAATGAGTACGTAAGGCCACGTTTCACATAGTAACTATAATGATAATGAAGAAGCACAATGGTAATATGATGAGGTTGAATTCGCAAAATTATTGCTATTACGGCACGAATTTTCCTTGAATCAATCGCTTTAACGTGTGTTATTTGCATTTTATCGCATCTCACTTTATTGAGAATATTTTTTTTCATTTCATCGATATCATAAAAGAAATGCTCCATTTATTCAAATATTTTAATTAAAGAATAGAAAGTAAAAATTAGAATAATATTAAGTAGAAAATAATTAAATGGAAAATAATATTAAATATTAAAAAAATATTAAAGAATTAGAATAATAGAATATTAGAATAATAGAATACTAAATAGAAAATAATAATTAGAATAATATTATTGCATTAAACATTAAATAAAAGCGAATATTTTTCGCTATTTTCAGCTTCATTACGAATTCATAAATCGATGATGCGACATATTTTAAATTTTTACACATACACGATACTATGAGAAACGTAAACAGGTGTAATATTCTAATATATCTCATAAGAGCCCGCAATTTATTAGTTTAAAGAACATTTAGTTGTTTGAATTATTTTTCTCTCCGAAATTAAAAGTAAGAATGAGAGTCTTTGTCTTTCTTAAATAAAACAATTTCAAGAAGTCCTCTTTTTGGGCGCCGGCAAATGACGAGTTAGATAAATGAAACCTCTGATTCATTCAGATATCGCTAGATAGGCCTCGGAGATAAGACGAGGGAGTACGTCGAGATGTGTGATGTTTCCTATCGCGCGCGGTTACCTGGATATGTCTCACGTTTGCATCTGATTTTAAATCTCCAATGACGACTCTCGTCCGCATCTCGCTCGTCCTGTGCGCGCTCGTCGGTTATTCCCGCTGTCAGCAGACTGGTAAGTGTTCCCTCTTCGTAATTTATCGCCTTCGTAAATATTCTCCGACGTAAAATACGTCGACGTAGCAGAGACGCAGAAGATAACGTTGCATTCGACAACATACAACGGAAAAAAGTCTAAAAAAACAGAAGTAAGAGACCTACTTATGTAGATTCTCATTTTCCTCAGATGTCTCTCAAAGATATTCAAAAGGTACATTATATTTTATTATATTTCTTTGTTTCGTTATAAACATTTTTAAAAAGTTTTATTCCACATATCTTTCGTACACTGGAGGAGACATTTTTTCAGACATTTTTTTTAGAATATCTTTTAGATACTCCTTGTAAAATGCTACATGAAATTTGTCGATATCGAAGTATCTACTGATAATGAATCGCACATTAGAAAAATAAATAAAACTTTGGTGCATTTTTTACTTTCAATAATTTGTGGTTATTTTTTCTTCCATGATTAATTGATTCTCATTATTAATTTATTGTTCGTTTAAGTGGAGCATGCTATGAACGTTCATATTGGTGACAACTGCGAGAGGGACGCCGAATGTATCAAGAACGCATTCTGTCGATGGCAGCAAAACTGTTTGTGCAATCCATATTATTCGCCAAGTCCCGATAAATCCTTGTGCATCGCCAGTGAGTGCTAAAAATTTTTATTATGCGGAGGAACAATAAAAAAGCGCATTATGTATATCACTCCTTGAGAGAGAGAGAGAGAGAGAGAGAGAGAAAGAGAGAGAGAAATAACTACAAGTAAAATTAGTAAATTAACTTTAAGACGCTAATAATATGATAAACTATATTTCTCAAGTTCTAAGAATTTTTAAAATTCTCCTACTTATTTTATATCTCTTTATCTATTTATTTTTTTTATCAACTCTTAGTTTCATCAACACGACTTCTTCTTTTTCTTCTTTTTCAGCATCTTCTTCTTCTTCTCCTTTTCTTCTTTTTTATCTTCTTCCTTTTATGCTTTATCTTCTTCTTCTTCTTCATTTTTTCATCTTCATTTTTATCTTTTTTTAGCCGTTGGATTGAGTTGTGAAGATCATACAACGTGTCAAACTATGGCAAATGGCGAATGCAGACAAGGCACGTGTTCTTGCAAGGACGAGTTCTTCTTAGACAGCACCAATTCGTCAAATTGCATTCCTAGTGAGTGACCATTATTTGCGGAAAATCACAAAAATAAAGAGACATCTGGAAAAAGTTACAGCTTGTAATTTTTAATTCGACGAGCAATTAAAAAAAGAAATATTACAGGACCCATTAAGATCGGCGATCGCTGTCAAATAATGACGATATGCCAAGAGAGTTTCGACTTTGCATCATGCATCAACGAACAATGCCAATGTTACACGGGGTATCATTTTGTAAACGAAACACGAGCTTGCGTTCCAAATCAAAGTAATATACAAACTTTTATTATAAAAGAAACGATAACATTAAGATACTAAAAAAGAGACAGAGAGAGAAAGAAATATTACAAAAATACAAATCAAGATTACTAAGACTTAATTAAATTATTTAAAGAATATTTTAACAGTATTTAATTAAATTTTTTCATTATACATATTAAATTCTTAATAAATTATTAAGTCAATAATAATAATAATAATTATTATATTATTTAAAGAAAATATCGAAATGAGAACAAAATTAAAAGAGAGAGAGAAAAAAATATTAAAAAAAGAGAAACGTTATTAAGATTATTTAATTTATTATTAAAATTATTAAATTAATTTATTATTATTATTATTATTATTATTATTATTATTATTATTGTTATATATATATATATATTATATATATAATATATATAATATAAAGGAAATATCAAAACGAGAAGAAAAAATTAATAGCATATTGTTTCAGGCTTGTATACTTTTTGTAATAGCGATTACGAATGCTACGAGGATGACAAGTCCCCGGATATCTTGGAGTGTAAGAATGGTCAATGCGTGTGCAAAGAAGGGGAGCCACTATGTGCTAAAGGTTAATTGTACTTAATTGCATCGTTACAAGCTAATTCGGCGAAGCTCGAGTTGTTTTTACCTCTTTTTTTTTCTTCTCATAGGTTCACTTTTCATGGCCACCGGAACGATCGTGACAATTTCGTTGTTGATACAACGAATGGCTCAATAGCGACTAATTAAAATATGTGTTTAATATATACTATCTATAGATATTTAATTGGCCATTCAATTTTATTCATGCTATTTTATTTAACGCGAAAGATGAACAAACCGATGTAAGGCTTCAAATTACACACTCGAATTTATATATATATATATATATATATATATATATATATATATATATATATACAATAAGATTTTATTACGCCCTATTTTTCTTTTATATTCGTATTTTTAATATTTATTAAATATGCCTTTAACGATGTTTGAGAGGAAGAAAGAGAGAGAGAGAGACACGTAATAGAATCTTATAAAAATTTTGTAACTATTTTGAAAACAAGAAAAAGTGTTATCACGTGCAAACATTTCTATTTAGCTATTATTTTTTTTAAGTTACATTTTTAATACAATTCTTGTAACCAAAGTTTTAAATATTCTGTGTAATACTTCTAATTTTAAATACAAAAAAAAGAAAAAAAAGATACATAAATTATTGGAAAGATCTGCAATAGATAGATTTAAAATGATGCATTTTCTTGCACTTATCACGAAAGACATAAATTTACGCTTTGACGAAAAAAAGACTCGTGCTTCAGTATCAGCTGTCAATAACGAGAAAAATTATTCATACGTTCATTCATCGTCAGCTATACGTCACACGTCATTGATACTGCCAGTTAAATGGTACAGTCCAATGAAATGCGTGGAACGTAAATTTAATGCGCACGCGCAGTGAACGTTTTGCTTTACTGCTAATCAGCTGATGGCTGGAGACCTAACCGTACTGATCGTACGTGAAGTCGAAAAATTCATAGACTTACTTTCTATAAGCTTATAGAAAAATTATGCGAATATATCGCACAAATAACGAATTCTAGAATCTCTGATATTTTTTAGAATAAAGATAGGTAAGCTTCACTAGCATTTTTAATTAATAAATCAACAAGCATTGTGTAATTTACGTTTAACGAAAGGTATATGTGAAAAGCTCAGGTTATGTTTGATATAAATTGGAGTGGAATTATACATATTTTTCTGTATTATTACTTTCTACGTCAAGTCTTTCTATCATAATTGAGAGAAATTGCATGACAAATTATTTGCCAAAGTTCTTTCTTTGTCATTTATTTTGTCTTAAAGTTTCATCAGCATTTAATTAATTAATCATCGAGCAATGTATAATCTACATTTAACAAAGATGTAATGTGAGAAGCTCAAATTATGTTTGATATAAATTGGAGTATATTTTTTACTACATCAAGTTTTTTCCTATACAATTGAAAGAAATTGTGCGACAGATTATACTGGTAAATATAAAAAATAACTCGCGTATAAAAAGTAGTCAATTCTTATTAATTTTGATATAAGAAAAATGAATGTGAAATTCTGACTTAAAACTCCTAATTAGCTTTTATTTCTAAGCTTTTATTTTCTTTTAGAATTTAGAGAAATATTCAATTTCATATATATGCTTATGTTGAAATGTGACAAGAGATATTTCAAAAATAGAATACAAAAAGAGAAACAGAAACTCAGCTCAAGTGAATAGGTCAAATATATATAATATTTTGTATCTTTTCAACATAATTAATATATATTTTTATTTATTATAATTAATTATAATTAATATATATTAATTACAATAAACAAGAATTTTGTGTTAAATTCTCCCAAAACTTTCTAAAACTTTCAATATCTTGTTTTATTAAAAGAATTATTAATTTGAATATTATTAATTTGAATATTATTAATCTCAAAGCCTTATAGAGCTAATAAAAATATTATACTGTTATATTTTTCTTCTAGTTTCATTTCAGTGAAAATTGACTAATTTTATAAAGGAAAGAAACAATTTTTATTTTCTTGTATACCAGTATCTGTCAAAGTTCCTTCATCATCAACTTATTGTCTCTCTCATTCTCTCCTCAGCATGTCTTGGATCGTGAATTCTGTGCGAGCCGCTATAAACACATGGACGCCACAAGTGATCCCGGTGCGATTTCGTTATCATGCGGACAAGAAACCGTTCGTAAGGGGATACGGATACGACGATCCAATAGATATGCAGGGGCTCCTACCGCGTAAGAGCAATAAGCGAATATTGCAAATGCCGATCTATCGGCCAAAAGATGTCTGGTGCGAGAAGAAGGCCCTGTTCGGTCAGAACGACTACATCGACATACTGGGCTCCGATAAAGTCCATCCGACGACAGTCCTCTACGACGTGCCCATATGGTTGCGCGGTGTGCGAGGCAACGAGTTTCAAGTTCTGCTGAGAAAGCAAAAGATGTGGCGGAAAGGGATATATCCAATCGCAAGGCCAACAAAATGGAAGGAACTGCAGAAGAGAATACGTTATTTATACAAATTCCTAAATCGAAAGACGAAACAATAATTAGTTGGACCGCGATACAACCGTGTAATTAAGTTTCCATTTGAAATATATATAGTCGCTGTATTTTTCAGCTTCCGAGTAGATTTGATCAACCTTTGTGTCTCCCCCTGCGCTCCACGTGATATGCAATTGTTCTCTAAACGTATGCACAATATTAATTATATAAACGCAATTCATTATCTTCAGTAATGTAATGAAAAATATAAAATAATGAATTTATTTATTGACAAGTAATTATCCATCGGATATACGATTATTTCACAACATTGAAGAACGCAAATACTTTTCGCTGTAGAAAGATGAGAGAAATACGTGATACACAACGTTGCGATCACGCATGATATATGTACATAGTCAGTTGGGGTATTCGTGTCTAATGGTTCAACATATATTGCGAAATGATCGCGAAACAGAAATGTGCATCTCTGGAATAGTAGTTCTTTCTGATAGACTATTGTCAATAAATTGAGTATTGTCCATTCCTTTAAAAAGTAGTCACGAGTAATCAATATTATCACGGTTGTAAATCTCAATAATAGCTGATTAAAAAAGGCTGTTTTGAATGTATGTTTCTACGCGAGTTTTTCATGATATTTTTACATTGCCATTGAAAATACACATAATCGGCACATATGTGTAAGTTGTACGTTCCTTCACAAATTCCTTGCTAGAAGTTCGTCTTGGTATTAATAGTACGCAACATGTTGGTAACATTCACATTGCGCTATCGCGAATACCCTTTACATTGAAACTGTAATACTATGTTAAAAGCCCCATAGAGGCACATTTTTTTGTACAGAAATTAATACAGATACTAATTCAGATGATCATCTGAAAGTATCTTTTCGTCTTAAGTTTCTGGTGTGTTGTACATAAATTAATGGCAGTAAACTTGAATGAGACTACTACCGAACAATGTAAGAAAAAAAAAACAAGAGAACATCGGTTCATAAGTGATTTTGTAAAAAGGACAGCAAGGTTGTCTCATAATGCTTGCTGGCGTCCAGACTTCTCAGACTGTGCCTCTCATTGGGGTAAACCTGCAACTGATATGGTTTACCGATCTTCACGAGGGCGTTGATCAGCTGGCTGGTGTGATAGAAATGTACATTCTCGTCTATGAGACCATGAATAATCAACAATCGATTCTCTTCATCTGGGAATTTGTTCACATATGTCAGGATTGATCCTGCCATATAACCGTGAAGATTGTTTTGCGGCAGATCCATGTAACGTTCGGTATATCCAGTATCATAAAAATTCCACGAGGTAACCGGAGCACCAGCAATAGCGAGCTGTGACATAAAAATATTTTTGTTATTATATGTTTTAGAAAAAAAGATATCAATTTAAAATATCAATTCATACTTTGAATACATCGGGATACTGTATCAGACCCATCAGACTTAAGTATCCACCATAAGACCAACCGTGCAGAGCCACACGATTCAGATCTATGTATCCTGTGGTTTCTGCCAACCATCTCAATACTTCGACTTGATCGTTCAACTCTACCGTTCCCATTCTACGTCGTAAGTGGCTCTCGAATATCAGACCTCTATGCTGCGATCCACGGGAATCGATTAAAACTACACAATAGCCTTGAGCAGCTAGCATGTGCATCCGCAAATGCCTTAAGCCCTATAAAAAGCATTGAATTAAATTTCCCTTTCTGATAAATTTCATTTCATTTATCTATTCGTTGAAGAAGCATGTTTACCTTAAACGTATTCGACACGAGTTGAACCTCGGGTCCTCCGTAAACGTTCAATATCGTAGGATATTTAACTCCGGGCTGAAAATTATGAGGCTTGAATATCATCGAGTAAATCGTATCGCCTGATTTTATCTTATGCGTAAAAATTTCTGGCGCGAACAATTCCGATTCAGGCGCCGATGATTCTAGAAGATATCCTACAGGTGTGAGCGATATACTTTCCACCGTCCAATCGGTTTGCGATATTTTAAATACCTGTAACAAAAAGGAAAATGATTACCGACAAAATATCAATACTCTAAATTAACGAAAGTCTGTTTAACGAAGGACATACTTGACAAGTGGGTAGTGTTTTAATAGAACTATAAACGGTGACCAACATTGTGCACTCTTTGTTAAAATATACACTGTTATAACTATAACCCGGTCGTGTTAGGAGTCGTATTTCTAATGGTCGTCGCAGAGAAACCGCGTAAACGTGTTGCTCCAACGGCCCTTCTCGTAATCCGCAAAAGTATACGATAGAATTGACTTCGTCGACCCAGATCTTCTTCCCCAGCACTTCCCAATCGCCTTGCGTCAGGGCCACCTTGGAAGTGATACGCGGTCGAAGAAATATGCTGTCCATTCTATCCAAAGGCTCTTCCACTCCATTACTCAAGCCTATGATAAGGGAAAAATACATTAGACAAAAGGAATGTTAAATAACGAGAAAAATAATCCCATTACAAACCTGCTATACTGGATGTTATAAGATACAAATGCCGAAACTCAGATTCCTCGCTACCCCAGATAAACTTCACTTCGCTCGCGTCGTCAGACTTGAGAAAGTACAACAGGTCGTTCACGTTGATCCAAGTCGGATTCTGCTCCGAATATATCACCTGAACGCTCGCTGACGCAGGTGTAAAGTGGTTTTCCGTATTGTACGTGTTGGGTGGCGGTTCGCAGAAGTTGTCTATCGACAACAGAACCAGTTCAAGCTTCTGTTGTTTCCTGTCCAATAGTTGCACCCAGACGCTACGCATTAATGAAGTAGCGCGTTATCAAATCTCATATTAATCGATACAAGTAGTGCTTCGCATATGATTTCTTCGAACTTACTATTGAGCGTCCGGAGTCCAGCCGACTCTCACCATGTATTCCATCCAAGGAAACATTATGTGAAGGGGATACTGAAGTTCTAGTATTTCGATATCGACTATCTGCAACGATTCCGTCAACCGGAACTGCACCATCTTCAAGTTACTCCTAGCATTCGGCATACCTGCTCTAGGAAATCTAAATTCGTCCACCTCGTAGGAATTCGCCGAAGGAAAGCAATATATCTTAACATCGCTCTCGTCCACTTCTTCGTACACTATTCTATAGATACCGTCGTACATGGACTTTGGCTGCCACCAGTAGCCGATATATCTAAGATAAGAGGAAGAAATTTTCTAATTTTCGTGCTTTTTAGTATGCGAGTCTCCAATAATAAAATCCAACCTTGTAAATTCCTCCTGCATGACGTAGGAAGGAGTGCCGGCCGTAAGTGGATCATCCACGAGACTCCTGCCACCTTTCTTAGCGTGAGTCAATCGAACTGAGGAGCCTGTGATACTGTGAGACAGATATAGATCTCCCGAACATGTGTGAGCAATCAATGCATTGTTCCAGGGACAGATCTGAGGACACAGTTTCGCTCCGGTGGTCGACATTCTGATTTCTGATGGGAAGAGTGGTCCAGGCTGGTGGAAAGACGTATATATTTAGACACTTGGTTCCACTATAATCAAGATTACACATATTATACATATATTTTACCATGAATCCAGTATCCACACACTGATAAAGACTGCTGGCAGCTGGAAAAACCAATTTCCCACTCTCCGCATGAATCTCATAACTGGTTATGCCCCAAGTAGCAAGCCTCTTTCTCTCCCATAACAATTGTTCCTCCTTTGACAGTCTGTTTGTGCTCGATACACTAAAATTATTTCACGACAGATCTCGTTATCACCATCGATGAACATAAAACATGTCTTAATCCGCAGCGATACGTACCTCTGAAAATTTGCTTCTATGACAGGCTGCCAATGCAGACGATAGCCATTGGCATGATCTGCATGCGCAATGTCCACGTAGAGAAGCGTGGTCTCCCATCCGTTACTCGGAGTGCTGAGGAAATAGATTCTAGTTCTGGAAAGAAGAAAACCAAAACAAACAGAGTGTCAAACCTTCAAGACCGAACTGACTCTCGACGAGCTTGCTCACCGGCCGTCCGGGAGCGAGCGGAAAGTTATGGACCCGGGCACGGAGCCGGCTGACACCCCGGACAGCTTCCTTCTGAGGTCGCTGACGACGGCGCGGAGCTCGGACCACGACTTCCGGGGAACCGTGCTGTCTGGCGCGGCCTGCTGTTCCCCGCCCGCCTCGTTGCCGCTCGCGGCCTCCATGTTTTCCATACGTTGTCGTAGCCTCCCGCCAAGTCACTCGTCGTCCAGCCGAATCCACGTCCGCGTCTGACGTTTCATACCGGGCAAGAGAGAGAGAGAGAAGGAGAGAGAGAGCGAGAGAGAGAGGACGATCTCCGTCCCACGATTTCGGGAACGCGGACGGCGATATTATTTATAGGTTATGCAGCCGCGATTCGCGCCGTGCCGCCGTCGCCGTGACAAAAGGCTCACTTTCACCTTCTTCCTCTCCCCCCCGGCCCCTTCCCCTCGCCAGCGCCTCGCTCCCACTTCCTCCCAGTCCCGCGCGCGACGTCGTTAAATTCCCGAAATCGCGTACTCACATCACCACCACCATCAGCACCGCCAGTACCACCACTGTTACCACCATTACCACCTCCTACCACCACCACCAGCACCATCGTCAGCCATCGCCATCCGAGGATGCCGAGAGTCGCGAGGATCCGCCGAGATTCGAGCTGTCATCCGGACGCCCGCACATGACAGTAATAGCCCACGTTGCCGTCGTCCTCGGGGGGGATTCGCGTCTCGTCTCATCTCGAGTCGTCTCGTCTCGTCTCGCAGCTGATTCGAATCGCGTGCGGCGAAGCACGTGAGGCGGCCCGATAAAAGCACGTGAGGCGGCGAGAGATGTGTGTGTGCATGTACGACATGTATACACGCGCCGCACTAGTGAGTGGAGGCGATAGAGCGAGAAAAAATGATCACGTTTGATTATTTATGAGATGCAAAGTCGTGTGTTCCGCTCAACTATCTTTCATTCTTTCTTCTCTCGTGTAAAGATTTATGTAAATGTAAGGAATGAAGATACTTATTTAATTGAATTAAATTATTATTTAATTTTATTATTATTTAATTATTATTAATTATTATTAATTATTATTAATTAAATTATTATTGAATTATATTATTTTATTTTACTTTGTTTTATTTATTTAACGCGACAGAGTTATCTTGATCAAATTCAATTGAATTGAATTATAATTTTATTTTATTTATTTTTTTATTTAATGTGACAGTTATCTTGATTAAATTCATGTTGAAATCCTGATGATAGATTTAATAGGGTTGAAAGGCAATAGCATTTTTTTCTAATATAATAAAATGTAATAATAGAATTATGCGTTTGAGATGTAAAACCGTATGTCCCGATCTATCCAATCGGTCTTCTCTTTCTTGCTTACTTTTTTTTCATTCGTGTGATTCAAAAGCACGTTATTCTGGTCAGTAAATTGTGTACTAATTCACATGTTGCTTTGTGATTTAAATATCAATTACAACGTTTAAATATCAATTTGATTTATGAAGTATTGATTTGAACTGATTTATCACGTAATATCCCACGTTTAAATATCAATTTGATTTATGAAGTATTGATTTGAACTGATTTATCACGTAATATCCCAGCAAACACTAAGTAACATTTATATAATTGTTAGTTGTAATTTAATAATATATAACTCAATAATATAACTGTTACATATTATGTAACTGTTATATAACATGTAACAGTTACATTGATGAGTGGGAAATTATAACTAACAGTTATATAACTGTTATTTGATGTTTGCTGGTATCATATGTAATGTTTAATATTATATATATTATATTATATATTATACTATAATGATATTTAAAGAAATACATCGCATTTAGAAATGTATTATTAATTAATCTTAGATATATATATATATATATATATATATATTAAAAAGAAGAAAGAAGGATTAAAATGCAATCGAAAATATTTTTTAACTAACAATTATATAACTGTTACTTGATGTTTGCTGGGCGAAATTTACGTAAGAGATATTTATTTAATTGAATTGAAAATTAATTTTATTTGATTTATATTTAATGTGTTTATATTAAATGGAATGAATTTAATTTAATCGATTTTGAACAAAATGAAATTTACAATTTTTACGCAAGAAAAGTATTTATTCATAATTGAATTATTTTATTTTATTTATTCAATATAACTTTTGATTAAATTTATATATTTAAAATCATGAGGCTTTGATATATTCGATAAGATTAAAAAATAACAATAATAATTTTTTTTAATATATTAAAATATAATAATTGTAAAGAAACGTCACGAATTCGCGACGTATGTACGTTCGAAGAAAAAAAAACTCCCGAAAAGAGGACAACCTTCGTGCAGCCATGTCGGCATTGTTCTTACATATTTTAGCTTCATTCGGTTGCGACAGCCTTATTTCACCGTGTTCCTGAATAATTTTCCTCATCGTCGGCGGCAGCCACGCGCGATTATGTAAAAAAATCTAGTCGCTGAGTTCGAAGGAAAATTTTCTTCTCGACAGAGAAGAAAAAACGCGGAACTTTCACGACTCGATAGTTTATTCGACTGATATTTGCGAGAGAGACCTCGTATGGCATTACGTTTCCTATAAATCTATCCAGGTCGCTATTTGTGGACTACTTCGATCCGAGTACCTGCGATAAATACTGTCGAGTCGAGTCTGATAAATGATAGTCGAAATGTACGCACGTTTCTCGTTACATGTCGTCTCGTAGAATATTCATGTCCCAGATGTATCTTTATGTATTTTAATATTTAACTCGAAATCTCTATCATCCTTCATCCTCTTCTCGAAACTTTTTTTTTTCCTTCTTACTTGAAGTACAATTTTTATTGCACATTTCTACTTTTTTTTTAACTTGAAAAAATTTCGTTTTTTAATAAACTGCTTTCCTTTGAAGAAGATGCTGAAGACATATATCCACAGGTCGAGCAAACTCCGTTCGTGTTGCAAGAGAGAGAGAATTTATTTAGCACATGTAACACGGTTCCATTTTAATACATCCATTACTGCAATCATTATCGTAAACACAAGTTGTAGGCCGCGAACACGTGTGAGGATAACCGCGACAGAAGAGTCGCGATTAACAAACGAGGAATGCGTAGTTTCTGAGAAAATACGCAATATACTGTCACCGTTCATGTATACCGGTTTATATCAAGTTATCGAAATTTGCTTCATCACGTCATTACACAAGCATTTACAAACAACTCGTTCCAGGTAAGCGAGAAAGATCATATTTCTATCTCATTATTTTACATGACAAAAAATTTATGTACCGATGTAATAAATAGGAAGTTATTGTCTTCTGAAATTTTTTTACCAAAAAATCTTTATTGACAAGATTACACAACACTAAACATTGGACGTATTTAAAAATTGAATTAGACTTACGGAGTATCCCGAATTTAAATGTCAAAATCTCGGTCACTCTTATTTATTCATGATTTATTCTTGTTATTCATTCTTTTTTCATGAATTATTATTCATGAACATAATGTAAGTATGACTATATTATTCAAAGTATATAAACATATATATAAACAACAGTAAAAAGAAGATGATAATCTGGCATTATCGTCGTATTTATTTATAATCCTCTCTAATTTTGCTTTAAAAGGATTTTAATTTATTCTCTTTTCTTAGTTTCATGTTCTACAATATTTATCTCGTAATATTTTCCGATAAATCTAATTTTAGACTGTTGTTTTTTAATAATTTTATTTTATTTTCTCAAAAAAAGCAAAAACAAGCATAAATCTCTTTTCTTCTTAGAATTCAAATTTAGGACACATAAATATATAAAATCAACACACACACACACACACACACACACACACACACACACACACACACATATATATATATATATATATAACATGTGTTGATTTAAATTTTCTAATATCATCGAACATCTTTAATAGATTTTTTAAAATCAATCCTGATGTGTTTTATTTCTACAAAAATCTTACAGAAACGCGGTGAAATGTTCGGTGGTTCAAGATTATCAAGATGTGGTCGTGAAGCTGTTAAATACAAGTTATTTACACTCGCAAGTTTTAAAAAAAATTGGGAGGTGAGCTGCGAGCAAACGATTTTCTTGATTGCTAATTTAAAAATAGAAATCAGATATTTAAATTCCATATTGAAAGAATGTAATCCAAAAATCTGTCACTTTCTCTTTCTTTGTCAAAAATTTATCTATTTGAAACAGCAATTTACGATATTAAAAAACAATATTTTTGTAATCTTTGTTTTCCATTAAAAGTGTTTATATAATATAAAATTATAAATCTATTCTTAATTTTCTTTCGCAAAAATTTGCTTTCATGAAAGTATGCCCTCTTAACGTTAATCGATTTAATTCTACATAATTCATATTCAAAAATTAATAGAATGTTCACTTACCTTAATTTTTTCCCCTCGAGTATAATTGGATTACTCAATAAAATAACGCTAAATATTAAAATAATGTTAAATATTAAAAGAATACTAATTCTAATGCTCAATATTTAAAGAATGCTAATCCTAAAATCTATCCTTTTCTCTTTCTTTGACAAAGATATATCCATTCAATAGCAATTTGTATCAAATAAAAAAACAATATCGCTATAACTTTTTTGCTTTACATTAAAATAGCGTTTATATAAACTTAGAAATCTATTTTTCTTTATTTTTCGTTTATATAAACTTACAAATTTATTTTTCATTATTTTTCTTTAATTTTCCGAAAATTTGCCTTCAAAGTTTCCTTGAAACGTTACGCCCTTTTAATCGATTTGATTCTAACTCACATTCACGTCGAAAATTAACAGAATATTCACTTACCTTAATCTCCCTCATTGCGGGAGACGGGGATAATTGGATTATCGGGAGATTTACAAGGGGATTTAATCGCTCAAACACGACATATATATTGTCCGCCCGCGCGCAAGACGTCCGCCTTTCCCTCCTAATAAATAATTTTTTGTCCCCGATTAAATTTTTATTTTAGAGAATTGTTTCACTCTATACTCTGCACGTAACGGGATCGAATGTCTCGCGGATGGTCCACACGTAGGTAGAATTTTCCGACGAAACTACCAGCCTCCCTCCTCCCTCTCCAACTCCCTCGCCGTCTGCGCGAGGTCCGTATCTTTTCTAAGATATGTTCCGAGCACCGTCCAGAATTCTCTCCGGGATCGGCCGAATCCCTTTTCCCTGTGTCCTTTAAGTATTAACGTGGCGAATTTCGTAGGTGGTTCGCTAAAATTTTCATGAATTAATTCGATGTGTCTTTCTATCCTCGATATTCTATAGCGATTGCGTATGATCTTTGGCCATCTTGGAGCCATTTTTAATCGAAAGAAAATGAGGTTTCCGTAATAAAAAGATAATAGGATATTTATTTTATACAATTATTTCAGGTCGCAAAGTTGACTTGTAGGAAAATATCGCATCTTGGACAAGAGAGATGTCGGTTATATTTCTCAATTGAAACTATCAAACATTTAATATGCGTATTTCACTGTCTCGTCGCGCATCCTTCATTCGCTTGGTATTCTTGTATCACCTTCTTTTCTTTATTTCTAGCGGAGAAATCGTAGAGCGAACTGTTCGACGAGGAAATACGAAGAGAATTACAGCGGTTGTTTATTTAGAAAATAGAGAAGTGAATTTTAAAAGCAATATCGTTCTTTCGAAGAATTAATATTTACGAAAGATAATTCGCTTAAGCCAGAGAATCTAAAAAAAAATGTTAACATAGAAAGAAAAAAAAGGAGGAAAATTATTAATCGCAAAACAGAGGAAATTATTAATCGCTTTTCTAATTATGTTTTACATATATTTTCTTCAGTAAGATCGGAAAATGTCCACCCAAAACATTTTTTTTTTTTTATAAAAAAAATGATACAATATTTTTTTATACATTT